TTCCTCGACCAATGAGACGAGCGGTAATCTGAATTGTCATACTTGTCATAAGTGTGGTGTCAGCTCATTGGTCACAAAGCAGGAGAGGGGCTGGGAATTATGTTTTCAAACAAAGCGTTAATTCCATTAAAAGTTATAGACTACTTTTGATTCTCACTGTATTACGGGACAAAGTGCGTCCCTTATTAGCTCAATACGGGACGTGTACTTTCGATTCCGTATTTTAAGGGACGGTTGGCATTCCGTTCATCTATGTTCCCCGCTGTTTCCCATCTCCCTAATTACCTGGTGTTTACATATAGTCTTACTCTCCATTTGTTCTTTGCTGTGTTGTCCCTCTTAGTTGTGTCTCTCCGTGTTTTGTGTTTTTAATCAAGTATTATTGTTTTGTGTTTTGTTAGGGCTTACAATAAAGCTGTTTTTGAGTTTTGCGCCTCGACTTCCAAGTCTTGCAGTTGGAAAGCAAATGTTAGTTCCATCAGCCTCAGCTATGCTTTGTGTTGGTTCCAACACCATGTAGTAGTCAATGTTAGCATGCTAAACATCATCACATGTTAGCATATTAGCATACTAAACATCATCACATGAGTACAGTGCAACTGCTGTGGTTACTAAAGCCTCCTTTAGTATGAGTTCCTGCAACATACTAAAATTAACTTCAATTTGTTTTAAAAAGCTAAAGCTTCACTTAACTTTACCTCTATTAATAGATAAAAATAAATGATCAAAGATCAGTAGGAAAAATTGGCCTTGTCATTTAAATTTGAATATTTCTCTGAAGTATAGAGTCATGAGAAAGTACCCCCACTTTCAATTGTAATGTTTTATGTGTTAGGACATAATAAAGATAACCTAGTCCTTAGAAGGTCATGTAATTAGTGAAATACAATCTCAGATTGTGCTCTATAAAAGCACAAGTTTTGCTAGCTTGGTCAGTAGCATTCAGGTGTATGGTAGCACAATGCCAATGAGGAAAGACACCAGTAAAGATCTTAGAGAAGCAATTGTTGCTACAGTAAGAAAGAATATTCATGAGTGGAACACATTCAAGACAGTTGGCAATCTGCCCAGGAGTAGAAATCCCTGCAAATTCGGCCTTGACTCAAGGTCAGCTTGTCCAATGCTCAGAAAAACTGCAAAAAACCCAAGAGCTAAATCATAGACCCTACAGGCCTCTGTTAGCATGTTAATGTTAAAGTTCATGACAATAACATTAGAAGGTTTGGAAGCGTTGCCAGAAGAGAACCCTCTCCTTTAAAAAAAATATGGCAGCACAGGTTAAGTTTGCAAAGCTGCCTTCGACCAAACCACAGGACTTATGGAGCAATGTCCTTTGGACTGATGAGACCAAAGTGGAGATATTTGGCCAGTACACACCACACCACATTTGCAGAAAATCGAACACAGCACGGGTCATCATAAGGACACTGATTTCAAAACAGCAAATCATACAAAAGAATAAGTGAAAAAGACAATATTTAAGATGTCTCAATGGCCCAGTCAAAGTCCAAATCTTAACCAGATTGAATGAAAGAATAAATGAATGACTGCAAACCTCAATGAATGGAAGCAACATAGTAAAGAAGAGTGGGACAAAATTGCTCCACAATGATGTGAGCTACTGATGAAGTCATTACTTCAAGTTATTGTTGTTCAGGGTGCCTCTACTTCCTATTGTATCATGCAATCCCTTTAGTTTTTCACACATTTCTGCATTCTTCATTCTTAGATACGTTTTTGTTGACTACATTATGACAGAGTAATACACGATGTGATGTTGTTCATCTGAGGTTGTATTTACCTACTTTTAAGACCTGAAAGAAAACTGTATATGTAAATATTTTTTAATTTTGTTCTCCCATTTAGAACAAAAGAAATATCTCGTATTTTCGTACCTTGATAATATGTAGCTCTCAGTTTCAGATAGTATACCAAAGTTACAAAGTTGTGATCCACTGGCGTGTAATTTTCTTGTCTGAAAATAAGATCACACCTGTGTACTCTATGCATACATTTCTTCCTAACTCTACCTGTGGTATGTGTCATGGTCCCTGTGCCTCCCTGGCCAGCCCAGTGTGGCCACAAGTGTTTGTTGTTTTTCTCTCTCTCCTACCTGTCTGCCTGGGTGGAGCTCTGATTGGGCTCCTGCCCTTGACCCACGCACCTGCAGCTGATCTCGAGTGAATTGCAGTTCGCCTCTTCTTAAGGCTGGGGCTCTGAGCTATTGGTCGCTGGAATATTGAGTAACCCTCGTCAGTATTGCCTGGCTTCATTGTGAATCAGTTGTTCCCGTGCTTGCCGCCTACTTACCCTCGTCTATGTTTGTAGATTTATCTGGACCCGCCCGTTTCGACTCCTGGACCCCGTGAGTGTGAGTGGGTTGCTCGTGTGAGGAGTGTTTGGACAAGGAGCGGAGCCAGTGTGAAAAAGTGTGTTTCCCCGGCCTATTGATCCCCGGGACCCTGGTGTCCCCCCCTTCACGTGTACATAGCGCACCGGAGTGATTAATAAAGTCTGTGCCTGAGTCCGCCCATCACCGTGACAGTATGCACATTTTAATTACATTTCATGTAACTACATTTGTGTGTTCTGATTTCAGAAATCCTAAACTACAGAAAGATAATGATTAAACTGCTAAAGACAACTAACAGATGTGCATGATTCTTTCTTTTGCGTCATTTCCAGAGGTTGGAATAACAATAATTTTTCCACTCCTGCCAGCAGCACAAATACATGGATTTCTTTTCTGCTGAGCCAACTCACAATAAATGAATAGTACTTGGCAAGATTGAGAATAAAAACACAGACATGATCTTTGAAAGTATGTTTTGGTAAATTAAACAAGGCATGAAAGTGTTCACATTTACAGCCTTTTACCGTAATCTTGTGTTGAATACCTCATAGGGAGGAGACTGCCAGTATGCATTTGGACATACTGAGTAAGGTTTCTATCAACCCTTAATCCCTGTGAAAACATTTCAGGAAGAAACTTTACTGTTAAGAATTATTCTGTGCTTTTTAAAATTCTTCCGTTAGTCTTTGTAACAGAGATCCATGTCTTGCAGTTCTCAATCCATCCTCTGGATGGCTATACTCACCCAGAGATGAGCGGTTTCCCCGTTTGTTTTGACTCTCGGCACAGTGTAAAATTCTTCCCCTGTTATGAATTTTCTTTCGAGCTTTAAATCTTCTATGAAACACAACATCGCAGCATTTAAGTCCTTGAATTTTTAAAGGGTCTTATTTGTGAATTACAATAAACTACATTTCAAACAACTGTGTGGTGTTTTCCAGGTATTTACTGTAGTTAGTTTGAATGTATTTCACTTTAACCTGCTATTGGGATTTTTTACCTTTTATGCACACTATTCTTATGTTATGCTATAAAATAAATCAATTATCTCTGCAAGAGGATATACATTTTAAACAAAAAAACATAGCAACTATGTAACAACCTAGCAATTTACTATTCCTAGATAAATCTCACTTTTTATACTTATCAGGTCCAACTAATCCCAGCTACATAGGATACATTTTATCCCAAACCAGAGTTCATGTGTCACCAGGTTAACTTTTCTATGGCACTCGTTTCTTTTTCTAAACATCTGTGTTAACATCTTTTTGTAATTGTGCAAGTTTAGGAACTAATTTCAGTGTCTAATGTATTGAAATTTAAATCTTTACATGTGACTTTTAGTCTTTATTGAAGGCAAGAGTAAAATTACTTTATGGTTCACTATTGTAAAGACAAGAATAATGCCACACATTTACTTTCCAGGCATTTTCTTCTGTATATGATTATCCAAAGCTACTGATATAAAGAAAAATGTGTAATACCAGACAATAAATAAATAAATAAATAAATCCCTATCTACCATCTCTTGCCTGTGGTTACCAATTCAATTTACTCCATTACAACTGAAAGGAGCCAAAGTGCATCCACCAACCTACTTCCCTATCATGGATGAGGCACTGCTCTATTTCCCAAGGCTATGCGTGACACACAAATTTAACTGTGAATCTCTAGCTCCAATCAGAAGGTCAGTCAGAGACTTGTTTGGTCATTTAGTAGTTGCAGAGGCCCTTGTGCAAAAGCACGTCACTCCTATTAGTCTTTTTGATACTGTAACAACCCACAAGGCAGGACGAGTGGATGACTTCATCTGGAATTTGCTGGCGTTGTTCTTTCAGGCTTAAAAATAGAAATAAAATTAAATTCTTGATATTTTTAGGAGCTGGATTCTTAAACGCCACTGATACACCTTGTGAAACAAGAGTTAGAAATCACAACCCATTCATTCATCAATCACCAACAGAGAAACAAGTGTAGTTTAATATCCTGCACATATGAATATGTTGCTGAAATAACTAATCAAAACTACGCAATGCTTACAGTTTGGACACTGGATTGACAAAAACACAACACAATACTCCATCAAAATTTTATTTCAGCTATATTTAACAAGGCACAACATTTAACAGGGAACATTCACGTTACTACAAGGAAGCTTCTAGAGGTTTTGAAAGGAAAAGAAATAGAAAAGTGTCAAAGGAGTAGAAGGGTGCAAAAAGTTGATCACTGTCATAACCATAAGGGACAAGCTCATCAGCATAACATCATTTAACATGTGCTCCTAATTGTAATTGCTCATGATACCGTAAAGAATGCCTCGTGCACCCTCGTGTGCTATATGCAGGCATAAAAACGCTCCCCAAGCGATGAAGTCACATGGCCAGTGAAGTGCACAGAAAGTGCCTCGGGTTTTGATGTATAAAAAGTACATTGTGAAGGCTTGTGGCATTGGCAGGATAAATAATCATGTTTATGTAACACATAGAACGTCAAAGCCTTGGAGCTACACAACAATTTCCTCTTAGCTTATTTAGTCACTATTTACATCCTGTTAATGCAGTTTCTGGGGTTACATTTTAAAATGTATGTCTCAATGAGAAAATGCCATCCTATTAGTTCCTTCTACGATAGTACACCACTGTACGGTAGCATGAAAATATGAGGAAGGCATAGATGCACTTGGAATACACTGAAAGTGTACAAAGGATCAGACAGTCATAAATGCCTTACCCAATCATGTTGTATTTCTCTATGCACTTTCATAAACAACTGACTGGGCAGAGACGATAAAAAATCATTGAACGTGTACAACACAGTCTACATAGGAATGTATGAAGACAGCATCTGTTGTAAGATTCTTCTAGTAACATATATAAGTGCCAACATATGTAAAAGAAATAATGCATTTTTGGATTGCATGACAAAGAAAAAGCAAAAGTGTTCCACATTAATGAGATATGACAGATCTAAGTGGGAATTTTTTGGTTTTTTTTGTCAAATCTGACAAAGTAAGACAAGTTGCTACGTGGATTACACTGCCTGGTGTGTCTAAACTGGCACACTATAAGATTTTTCCCAGAAAGAAATTTGATATTAAAGCTCACTTTGGAAAGTGGAGCTTTACCAGACTGATGAATAAAGCTGGTGTCTCTTTCTTGCTGTTTCTTACTGTAATAAGATTCTTTCCGATCTGATTTTTCTCAGGTTGCAGACATGTGTTGTGCCACATCCTGCATTAAGCTTCTAAAATTCTTCCAATTTAAAAAGGTAAGTTCTTCTGTTTCGAACCAATCAAAAGCCACACCTTGCTTAGGTTCTTAAAGCAACTCAATGCAATCAATATACAGTGTCCTCATTTCAAAACTCACAGGGAAGATATGCAATAATTTATCAGAAAGAAAAAAGGGCGATTTCTGCTTCAGATGCCAGAATCCAGTGCAGATACTTTTTGGGGTAAGGGCTTCCTGGCTACTGCCTTAGGAACAGCAAGCCCAGACCGCAAAAAGACCCACAAAGGACAGTTTTGATCCTTTGTTCCCTATGAGAATGTCCACAGCACCTAGAGAAAGACATAAAAACCCAAATATGAGAGAAGACACATCTCCCTCAAAAAGTGCAGTTTCTGCATAGTAACCAAAAAATCTTTCTAATTGTTCTTTTAATTGTCTTGGAATATTGTGCAGAAAGCAGAACAACTGTGGGTTTGTGTCCACTAACAATAAACTGTGAATTGTTGATTTTAGACTTGCATTTCAGAATTGACTTTAACACTCCACGGTGTGGATAAGCAAACAGCAGTTAGCAGTTTCAGTCATCATGGTCGGGAAGACCACTGCTCGCACGCTCTCTGTTTAACAAGTCTTGGTCAAAATGCAGACTGACGAAGAAATGGTTTGGATGTCGTGAATTTATAAAACATGTGTTCGTGTTTTTAAAGGTGGTTGAAGTAAAAAGCCCTGAATGATGGAAAATGACAAAGAATATGACAAAATGTAGAGTCGATGTCTTCCACATTAGTAAAGCATACAGGGAGATAGAGCTGAAATAAGCCATTCTAGTCTAGCTCTACATTTCTGTATCAGCTTGATCAAATGTTAAACTACTAGCTGAATTTGCCTATTGGTCAGTTCTTAATCTAATCTCTTCTGCTTTGGTAGCAACACAGTGTACAACCAACACTAACATGACTACATTTAAGAGGGTAAGATTCAGTGTATAACTGGATATTTAATGTATGATTTCTTTTTAAATAGGTAGCTGGAGATCTTGATAGATGCAGAATCCTAAGCATGCAAAGGTTATGGATTTCCACTGTGGAAATTTTATACTGCCAGGTTTAGAGTTTAATAGAGTTTAATTTAAAGAAAATTAAGTAGCTATCTTTTTTTTAATTTTAACATAAACCAGGGGACCAAGGCGCTCTGGTAAAAATAAAAATACAAGTTCTATATAGGGATGCACCGATACCGATACTGTAAAATGTGTGTGTACTCATACCCGTAAAAGTTAACCGATACCATGAACCGATACTAACTTATTTCATTAATCAGAGGGTGACTTGTCATTTTTGTTGTAGTTTTTTAGATTGGCCACTAGGGGGACATCCCGCGCTAAACAGGCACAGGGTTAGACGAGTCAGACTGGCAGCTCCAGATAAAAAAAGAGAAACTGGAGGCTGCTGTAGCTAGGCTAAACAAAATGTCAGCAGTGTGGACCGGAACAGCCAACTTTAACTCAGGTTTTGGAAAAGCGATGAAAAATGTCAAGAGAAAATCCACGGGCAGTTAAAATAACAGAGGCTCTGACTCATTTTATCGCTCTGGATGACCAGCCAATGCCAGTCGTGGAAAACATAGGATTCTTCTCAGCATACTCGAGCTGCGATATGAAATTCCCAGCCGCCCACACATCAGGGAGATAATGGTGCCAAAACTTTCTAAAGAGGTAAAGACAAGCAGTGTGTGCGCGATGTCAGTCTTTGATTTAACGGCACAGTGGACTGATGATCCACAGACAGATGGGGAGTTCGTTCGTCAATGCCAAATACTTTCGTTATTTTGTTTGTTTGTTTACAATATGGACACTCTGCAACAATTTAAACGTTTATTTTATTCTCAAACCTAATTTGTATTTAGTTTATTCCAAACAGAAGTGTTTATTTATTATTCCGAAAGCTCGAGACAGTGCCAATAGTTCAGTGATATTTTGTTAAATTACAATGTGGAGACTGCAATAATTTAACAGAAGTGCTTATTTTTCACTTGAAATATTTTTGTGGTCATTTTTACTAAGATATTATTTATTATCGGCAGAGAATAAAATAAAACCTGTCTTCCAATTCATTGCGTGTGTGTGTGTGCGTGTGTGTGTGGGTAGTAGAAGTATCGGTTTTTGTACTCTGTACCGGCAAGTACTCAGATCCAAGTATCGGTATCGTATCGGTTTGAAAAAATTGGTATCGTTGCATCCCTAGTTCTATATATATCCTCCTCAATAGATAGATAGATAGATAGATAGATAGATAGATAGATAGATAGATAGATAGATAGATAGATAGATAGATACGTTAAAACTATATGTATGTATTTATGTACAACCAGAAGCTTTATATGGCTTTAGGAATGAAACAAAAGGGTTGATCACAAGGGTTGATCTTCTTCTAATAACACACAGTCTCTCCCTTATTCTATCAGCAAAAGATCAAAAAGAAGTAGCTGTAATTTTTCCTCAGATGGAGATGACAGATGGAGAAAGGTTCAATATTATGCAAACTTTAAGTTGAGAATTCCTGATGGCACTGCAAGAGACGAAAAATTAAATGAGCTTTTGACACCACCCCTTCACTTCAGTGCAAGCAGGGCAACGTGGCACCCCAGTGGCTGAAAATTAGGTTGTCATTCACACAGATGTCGCAACGGACAGGAACTGTAATTGTGGACCTGGCGTGGTCTTTGATGTTCTTGGTGCATTTTCAAAGAGCAACATTGTCACCGCTTAGTGATGATGAAACTGGTGTGCAACCATCTTGTACTCCACTAATTCTTTAGCCCTCTGGCCAAAAAGGACACGGGTCGGCATATTTGCTTGGTTCTTTCACCTGATAAGTCAAGTCTTCATTGTTGGCCTTCAGCGCCACATAACTTTTGACTAATCTCAGCTGGACACTAGTGAGCTTACATAGTCCCGTCCTTCAGGGAACAATGGGATCTCTTTTTCCTCAAACTAATCCCACTATCTCCACATTCAAGATCTTCAGCTTTCGATAATCCTGCACATGCCTTTCCAGGAAATGAAAACATTCACGTTTTCCTTATATTTAGAGCAAAAAGTTCAGTGAACATCGCTTTCTTTTGAGTTTGGTTTCTCAAAACAAAGGTCAGCGTTTATATAGCCGCCCACTAAGAGAATGTCTGAAGTGAACATTGTTATGTAGCCTGATCATAACGACTACAGTCTAGTTTTGAGAAAAGTTTATTGTTTAACATTACATTTCTGTCACACGCAGAAACAATAATAGCTCTTTTCTATCCCATGTGACTCACAGAAAAATGACCATCACTAATAAATCTCTGATTCAGCTTCAATCAGCTGCAAATGTGTCAAACCTCTCAGACCAAACTACCTTAACAAACTATCAAAAAGCTCTAAAAGGCTAAATTAGACAAATAAACCTCAGAGATATAAAAAACCTATATGAAATATAATACAGCAGCCACCATATTATATCAGTATGCCTTACTATGTGAAGGCGACAGTGGTAAAAGTAATAATTTAGCTGCATTTTTTTGTACAGTGGTATTCAGGTACACAGGTAGCTGATTTAAATATGCCACACCCTTTTTGAAACTAAACAACTACCTGCATAGCCACCACCTGCTGAAACTCATAACTGCTCCTGCTGAAGGCTACAGATAACGTGGTGCAACAGGGCTAATCGCATAAACTTTTTATATACAGTCTCTTGGTCAACGTTTGGTTTGATCCTCTGGTTTTCAACATTTACTAACAACAAAATACAATGAAATGCTGTTTCACACCGTTTTTGTTTAACACTAGTCTTGAAAAAAAAGCTTCATGCTGTAGTCAGTTTCATTACCTATAAACACAGTGAGACTTTAGTTTAAAAAAGTAAGAAATAATATAAACACAATATGAACAATTCACACAGCTCAAATCATGCAGACAGCATTGCCAGTTTCATGAATGTAGCAACAACAATAAGAGTAATAATAATAATAATAATAATAATAATAATAATAATAATAATAATAATAATGATGATGATGATGATGATAATAATAGTAGTAGTAATAATAATAGTCATAATAATGCATATTCATCAAAGACTATGGGAAATATTTTGAAGATGTGCATGCAATGATCGGTACAGGAAATATTCTTGGATGTGCAGCATGAAAAAATGATCTGAAATAAAGATCCACCTCAAATCTAGAAAAAACAAAGAGAAAGTCTAGTGAGACAGTCCACACAAGCTAAACTATGAGTCTAACTCCATAGACCATAAAATTTCACGCTCCAGTAAAGAACAAGTTCATAAAAAAGGGGGTGGGGGTGCTTTAAAAACGACTTTTGTGGTGTGTACTGAGAAGGCACGAACAGCACACGACCACATCTGGACGACAGGGCCTTTGCCTATGGGTGTTACATCAAGCCCAGGGCGGATAGGGACCAGCACACTGGACCATCTGCACACGTAGGCATCTGCCACACTTACCTCACCACATGCGTCATATGTGAGGGGGGGGGGGGGGAGTGTCACAGTTTCTGCTCTTCTCTAAATATATCTTACTTTCTCCCAACTAATCTCATATACGATTGAAAGCGATGGAAGATAGGGGGTTCTGATCGTTTACTTACTTAATGAATGCAACGATGATGGCTTCACTGGGCTCCATTCATCTCATTTTCGTAGTGTCGGTTGCGCAGGCCCTCAGCCACTTTAGGATCTCCTTCTTAACAAAAGTTGCAGAGGCAAGCCGACCTTTACAGCAAAGAATGACTAGTCCAGTGTTCACAGAAACAACAACAAAACCCCACAGCGCCTAAAAACGATGGGTGAAAGAAGAGCGCTCTCCGTGGTCCTGAAATGTACAAGTGATCTATCCATGGTGCTGAAACCAGCTCTTCCCCGCGTGGTGAACGCCCTGCACCGGAGCTCAATTTGTGGAAAGACTGGAAAGTGGAGTTGGTTAAAAACGAGGCTGAAAAAAACCCCCACACACCAAGGATCAAAACTATAAAAAAAAAAGAAAAAGAAAAAGAAAGAGAGAAAGAAAAAAGAAAGAAAGAAGAAAAGAAAAAGAAATTTAAAAAGGCAGGCAAACAAGAGCCAACATGTCGATTTGTAATCTGCGGGACGAACTGATCGTGCATGAACTGGCACTTGTTGCCATAACGCATT